GGGGGGTCTCTTAAACTGTGAAGAGTATTATATAGAATGCCAAGCATTATATGTCTTCATTCTAGTTGGAGGGTTAATGAGCGTACATTGAATTGTATACATATATCTCAATTTCTTTTTCTTTTGATTTTATATAAAAACTACCTTGATGCCAAAAATATCTCTCGTGCATGAATGTCACAAACGTGTATGTAGGTGTCTGTATCCACGACACCTAAAAAATGTATGCAGAGAAAAACAATAAATTTAAAATTTAAGCTTTAATCCATCCTTTAATGAGTTGATTAGATTTTGGGCATATTCGGAACATCTGGTGGTTCTTTATAGAGAGTCGTTTTTCTACTTTAAGGAATATATTTGTTATTTACCCCTGAAAAAAAAATCGTCAAATAAAAGTTGCTTGTGATATAAAATTCAATTAAAAAAAAATGAGAAAAGTATGTAGGTATTTGAATTTTGACCTACCCTGTACAGATTTGTTTCGAATTAAAATATAATGTATCGGCATAAAATGTAGCCTAATATCGAAAATCTTTTACCACAAAAGATTGGTTTTCAATTGTTTCTTTTGCATTATACAGGCCTTTGAGATCAATACGATTTTCATATAAAATTGGTATTAGCGTATACTGTGTATAATCTCATACTATTTGATTTGTTATAATGGGAAAAGCGAGGGCAATTCAAATACAATACAAAATAAAGTGCATTCCATTTAAAAAACCTAACTTTGATATTTCACTTTTTTGGAGAACCCTGTATGATTAAAATTATTTTTAAATTGTTATCTTTTCGGACATACATCTCGTTGTGAAAACAAATTAAAAAAAAACAAATAGTTTTGGCTCTACAGACCGAAGCGTTACCGGTGGCCCATCCTATACATACTTCATTACCTTACAAGGTTCAGACTTATCTATAAAGACTTTCTGACTTGTTTTTTTAGAGAAAACAAAATACTAAACCTAGGGAGAAACGCATATACTCGTATAAACTTAGCCAAAAATATTAAACTTTGGTAAAAAGTGTTGTTTTATTTATAAAGACAGAGCAGTAGGTATTTTTTATTAAAATTAAAACCAATAATTACAAAGTATGGCAGTAAGTTAAATTTCATTCGCAAATAAACATAATTTTTAACCATATTTGTTAATAATATATCGAATTATTTATTTAATTAAATTTCACAACGCTCGTATAAAAATTGTATTTATTCCGGCCCTGTTCTGCTTCAACTGTTACAGTAATGCAAATAACAAAGGTTTTATAGCGCTATCTGTGAAATTACATGGAACTTCTTACTGCACAGATTCCTACGAACTGTGGTTAGCGCAGACCCCACATTTGATCTGCATTGTCCCTAGCCGATTAGGTCAATTAATAATTAGCTTTTATTTCAAACCAAGCTTTTAGGAAAACCAAACATTATTTTGAAGTACGATTTGTTTGATTTATTTGATATGTTAGTTGTACGGGTGGTAACGAAAAGAAAACGTCTAAATATGTTTAGTTTTAAAGTAAATACGTCGACAAGTCGTGGGTTTCTATGTGGTTTGGATACCGAGGATCAAAGTCATTTTTCGAGTATTTTTAAAAAACTCTGTTCCTTTAGATTTCTTTACAACCCGTAGGCATAATTTATGAACTGATTTCTATATTAAAATTAATGCTACGAAGTATACTTTTCCCGAAAGCTTCATCAAAAGTAACTTCTGCATATACGGGGAATTAACATGGGCGATCGCCAGCCTTAAACAATATAATTTATAAAAATAATCAATGATAAAATAGTAAATACAAATAAATATATCCTTATAGTATTTTTACCGTCCGTAATAGTCTAATAGCATCGATTTTTCCGGTTGGTTTCGTTTAATGACTTTAATGACAAGAAATTGATATATCATTTTACTCTCTATGCCCTATTTAAAGTAAACAATACAGCGACTAAAGCGGACCACTTCAAAAATGTAGTTAAACAGTTAAAATTCGCAATAAAAATTGGACCAACCAGTCAATGTTAAAATAAACATTATTATTAAGAAAAGTAGTTCATATTTTTGTTTAAAAGGGTACAATGAAAGATTTTAAAGTTGATTAATTACCTAGCAGATAAATAAAATAACCCAATTTTAGTTGGACCTTACCTAATTTTAATATTGATTCACTTACCTGTAAGGAAGATCAATCCAAATTTGTCGAACTCATCTTCCTGTGCAATTGACATGCTGCAGTATCGCGTTAGTCATACCTCTCGGTATTAAATAATAATTATTTTATTAAATAATTGTTATCCGACATGCTTGTCGCCAAGCTAAGCTCATTCCGTTATTGGCATAAAAGAATACACACCTTGACACACAAAATGATAGACAAATTTGGATTTATCTTCCTTACAGGTAAGTCGATCAATCTTATAATTTGTTTTCACTCATACTCTTTGTACAACTGATGACTCTGTAAGCTGTTTAGAAAATACTCATTTTGACAAAATAAAAAATTTGATTGATTTGAGTTTATTTTCCTACATGAATAACTGTAAATATATTAACCTGTATCATGTTAGAACCAGCTCCAAAATCAGCCCGATCTCAATCATCCGACAGCGGTTGACAAATAATCATTTACTGTAATAATAGGCAAATTTAAAAGAATTTTTTTGCTAAAATAATATACAGGGTGTTGCATTTGAAGAAACTGAGTAAATTGAACTTAAAAAACCAGTTCTATTACCACTATTCGTTAGCTTGTTATCTTATAAGTTTGTATTTAAAACAATTTTGAAATCATTGGTAATCTACCTAAATTATTAATTAATTGCTTGGCAAACCTGTAATAAGTTTTAAAAATATTTTAACGTTGAATACAATACTACTAGACCAATTTAAAACTGAAATAAAATACAGAGTGTTTCATTTAAAAAATATAAATTTTTATTTGTCTAGCAAAAATAATACTTTTAAAATATCTATTTTTCAAATCCATATAACTTTTATTTGAAACTTGCTTGTGTGTCTATAACTCAAATTGAAATATTGAACAATTACGCAATAATAGGACACCCTGTAAAGTTGCTGTGATGAAACATGCACTACACCCAAGAGTTATTATAACGGAATGGAGAGAGCTTAGCGACAGGGGTATTTGATAACAATTAAAGGTATCATTTGGCAACGCGCGAAGCAAGACCGAGACAGAAGTAAGGCGGCAAATATTGCCATACTAAAGGTACCATTTCGGTAGCCGCGTCAAGAGACAGGAGACGACTGAGGAATCCAGTAGGACGACAGATGCATAAATGTTACGCTAAGCGATGGCCAAGGAGAGTGACCTCTAGTGCGACACTTCGAGGACAGTGACCCCGAGACAGATTCAGAAGTGTCGACAGGAAGTGTCGTCTTGACGACACTTCTCGTGTCGCGCCGTGAGAAATGTGTTTCATATAATTGTATGTATTTTAGATGTGAAGCGACACTTCTCGGTCGCGTCGGCGATCGTCTGTCGCGCCTACCGAAATGATACCTTGACTCGGGGCAAAGGTTGGCTGCCTGTCGCACTCTAGGTCACTGTCCTCGAGCATCGCTTCATTTTGGAGGTGAATAGGTTGAAAATTTCTTTCGATCTAGGCAGTGTTGCCAGATTTTGGAACAGTATGGGTGAAAAAAAAAAACCGTAGATCTGAACAGTAGATTTTAATACAGGAGGAAATAATTAAAATTTGCAGTGTAGTATATAAAAAACAAGTATATAAGAAACGAAAAATAAACTTTTTTTCGACCCAAATTAGAAGGTAAACAAATAATAAAAACAAATAATACCATTTTTAATATATACTTAACGTACGGAAACAAAAAACCAATGCAAAATAATACGTACCTACTTCTTTTAGATCAGTCTGAATCAGATAATTCAAAATCGTAGTGTGCATGTTCTTTTTATGATGCCCTATTAATTCTTTGTTTCATTTTAAATAAAAACAATGATTATCTTGATGTTTTATTTTATGGAGCCAACCTAGAGTAGTGGATGCTTATTACGCTGCTTTTACTGCAGAAAATTTACTAGAGAAAATATTCTTTAACCATTTGCTGAAGAATGAGGCAAACTTAATAAATTAAGAACAAAATTTGCTATTGACAAAAACAGTGGATCTACGTAAAAACAGTAGGTCTGGCAACGCTGATCGTTCCCTCGAATGTATATCCTGTGTCTCACGACCCGTCTCCAAGCTTCCGAAATGTATGGAACGTAACTTTTATGCATCTGTCGTCCATTGGGTCGCCTCGGTGGTCTCCTGTCTCCTAACGCGCCTACCGAAAAGGTACCTTTAAGGTACCATTTGGGGACGCGCGACAAATGTCAGGAGACCGAGACACCAGTGAAACGGCAAATATTGCCATACTAAATCTGATGTCGTCTGTTGCCTCTACCGAAATGTATTTCTTATAATTACATGGGTTCAGACGTGAAGCGAAAGTTTAGTGTCTCGCTTGCTGTCGCGGCGCGTTTTGAAGTCGGTCTCTGTCTCGGCTACCATTTTTCAAGCCGAAACAGAGACCGACTTCAAAACGCACCGCGACACTAAACGGTCGTTTGTCGTTTCACGTCTGAACCCATGTAATTATAAGAAACATATTTCGGTAGATGCGACAGACGACATCAGATTTTTTAGTATGGCAATATTTGCCGCTGCACTGGTGTCTCGGTCTCCTGACATTTGTCGCGCGTTCCCAAATGGTACCTTTTTAATCTGATGTCGTCGGTCGCATCTACCGAAATGTTTTTCATATAAATACATGTGTTCAGACGTGAAGAGACCGTTTAGGTCTCCCTTACTGTCGCGGCGCGTTTTGAAGTCGGTCTCTGTCTCTGCTTGCGAAATGGTAGCTTAATTAATCTGTTAACAAATACCGAGAAGTATGACTAACGCGATAATACAGGGTGATCATTTGTATCTAAAGGAGGATGAGTGAGAACAAATTAAAAATTGTGGGTTTTTCTTTATAGGATGCGCCAAATAACACTATTGTTACTGGTATTTTGTAATGTTTACTGCCAAGAAAGCGCCCAATATCTTCAAAATGCTGTGAGAGACTTGAGGAAACTGAATTATATACAAACATTACGACGAGTTGATACGAAAATGTCTCAAAGTCCAATCAAAGGAGAGAAGATACCAATAAGTGCTGACAGAAGAATACAACAAAGCTCTGGTGTAAGCCTTTTTATTTTGATTCAATCCGTAATTTATAATTTTAAAATTTTAGGGTATACCACCGTTGAGTCTAACGAAAGGAGAGCTACTTTCACTTTATGAAAATGCTATAGCTAAAGGAGATACCCTAAAACTGGATGCAGGGGATAATACATTTGTTAATGCAGCTGTGCATGAATTAGATGAACATGAAGATCATTTACCACTTAAAGAGCCGAAGAAAGATGGATACTATTACTATTATTATCCTATTAAGAGCTTCATTGATGAAATGACGTCCCAGACTAGTGGTAGTGTAAGTAAAATTTTGCTATTTGTAATTAAAACTCGAAAAATGAGGCATTTGAGGAAATGTGTTGGTGCCTTACACAAAATTTTACTTTCCATACACTACATTTCACTGTAAAAATCATTATTTCAAATACGTTTTAATTTATCCAAGCTAAAAACACTTTTTTTGTTTCAGTCCCACGACTATCATTCTTACAAATATACTAAACCAGTGCACGTCTACACCACCACTCAAAAGCCGCCATATACGCTTCATTCTCATCACCACGAGGTAAGTTGCTAAATCACAACTTTTCTTTAACCTTCTACACATCTTGCAGCTGTTGCGCAGCATGTTTCCTTGATAGCCTCATTTGCTTTCTTAAACTTAAAGTTTTCAATGCACATAATAATAATAATAATAAATATCTGGAAAGCACAAATGAATCTATTACTTAGATCTCAACAAATATTTGCTAAATGATAGATTTCCAGTCCTTTTTAAAAAAATAAATAAAATTTTTGTTTCAGCATAACGTCAATATTAAAAAAGAAATTGTGAAAAAACCGGAAAATAAATTGGAACCACTATTCATGGCCATATCTGGTTTTGTAGGAATGGCAGTTATGTTTGTTCTTTCTTTGGTAGTTTTACCCAAATTTGGTAAGCCCAATAATAAGAAGATCGTTTGGCCGAAAACTGTTGATATGGATGAATTGGCAAGGCTCGCTTTGAATGCTATCGAGGGAAGTGATTGCAGAGAAAGATTTGCCTGTGAATTAAGTAAAACTGCAAGAAATTTCAACATGACAGAAAACAGATTTATTAAGTAAATATTTTTATACAATATTAATATATTTAGCGTTTGTCAAAAATATCTTACAGTGGAAAGAAAATAAATTCCGGCTGATTTTAGTAAATAATTTATCTAATATTACGGTGGTTAGTGATAATTTGATAAAACGAAAACAGAAGACATTAATTACGGCGATCAACAACCAGAATAGTGTAATTATATAAAGACAAAAACATGAATTATATTTTTATAATTTTCTTATACAGGGTGAATCAGAACAATGGGATCAAACATCGAGAGGTTATTCAGTGCAATAAATAGATAACATAGTACAAGAACGCATGTCCGAAAATGTTTCTAAGGCGCTATTGTACGTCCTATGATGCTTTAAAAATCATCAGTTATGTGAAAAAGTTGTTCGATCGAGTGTTGAATCATTTTTTGTTATTTATATAGTATTATTATGTTCAAAAATAAATGAAAACAATGCTTTAACACTCGATCAAACACACTTTTTCACATAACTGACTTACAGCGCCATAGGGATACAATTTCGGACTTATTGTACTCAAATTTCTTCTATTATTGCACTTAATGACCTTTTGACGTTTGATCTCATAGGTCTGATCCGTCCAATATTTATAATACAGTTTTGAACTCAATGGAATAATTTAAATTTTTGTAAAAAAATGCCCGACTCTACCCTAATGATTATTTGTGATATACGATTGCCTAGTAATCATGGATCAAAGACCTTTAGTTATTTAATTTTTAGCTTGGCTGCCATTATATGTCCAAATGTAGCCATTTTTTGTCCACCGTAAATTAATCATTTGTGGAGTAATGCATATTGCCTATCTTATACGTGATATCGATTTTCTTTTGTTCGTCCCACTGGTGTAGGAATGAACTACACCAACGGTGTAGCCCAATGTTAAATCCACTAACCTTTCGATCGGCGTTGTGGTGTCCACTGGTTGGTACTTCTTCCACCAGTTATTTAACAGGAGTTAATTACACTCGACATGTGTATAAGGAATGAGGGAAGTAAACTAGGTAGCACATAGCCAGGACTAATATCAAGTATACCTACAAGTGCAGCGGATGAGTGGAGAATCAAGATCAACGCCGAGAAGACCCAAGCTGTGCTGTTCAAGAAGAGATTACACCAACCAGGACAAGACATGCCGTGAACCCAATCCGCAAAATACCTAGGAGTAATGCTGTACGAAAAACTTACATTCACCAAACACGTGGACATGGTAGTAATGAAGACAAAACAAGCCAGGACAAGAATTAAATGCTCGATAGGTAGGGGAAGTAAGCTACTGCAGAAGACCAAACTACGTCACATCCCAGCAGTAATAATACCAATATTGATGTATGCCTCCACGGCCTGGTGATACACCTGCAAGAACAACAAGAAAATACAAGAGCAACAGAACATCAGCCTAAGATGGGCCGCAAACGCCTAACGTGTGTCTTTTTATCCAATTGTTGCAGCAACGTTGGCATCGGTGCGGTATCTACCTGTCTTTTTTTTCATCAATCAATCAATGATGAACTAACAGCGCTATCTTTTTATCCAACATTGCTGCAATCGATGCAACACCAATCCATCAGTTTCATGTATGGTTTTTTCCGATTAGATGTGACAACTGACGGCTAGATTGCGGGAATTAGGCAGAATTAAGGAGTTCATTAATGATTTAATTGTTGTATTGTAGGAAAAACCGAAAAAAAGGGCTTGTAAAAATACATACTTTCAAATTAAGGTAAATTCAAATAAAATTATAAACAAAAATTTTAATCCAAAATGTCAACTGTTATTTATTTCAACGGTCAACCATAAATAAACCGAATCCAACACAAAGCGTTCAAGGTGAAACAGCGATTGCAACAAACCGATGAAAATAAAGACACACGTCTTTCGATACACAAGAAATGAAGTGACAATTATGGACTTAGAATGCACGAGGGTTCTAGACCTAATACACAAGAAGGTCACAGATACCTTCGAAAAGTTAAGACTTCGCCCAAATACAGAGTTAAGAGAACTCGCCGAATACGAGAGAGCCGATTACAGGAAACACGCCAGGCCACGCAAACAACTGGAATATGGTGGAGAGTGACCGAATAAACGGAAGGTGCAAAAATAGGACTTATCATTAGTTTAAGCCAGAAGTGGCAGGTACGATTCATATCTACACCGACGCAGACGGTTCTAAAACAAAACAAGGCTCAGGATGTGGAATATACTCCAGATTCTTAAACCTAAACATAAAATGGTCTATGAGCAATAGTGCCAGTGTAGTTCAAACAGAGCTAACGGGGATTCTCATAGCAGCAAAAGAAATAACCAGAAACAATATCACTGGAAGGAACGTGCTCACCTATACAGATAGCAGACAAGCACTACTCACCCTGAACAAACCACGAATTTACTCAGGGTTATTACTAGAATGTCACGAAGCTTTGGCCGAAGTATCCATCAACAATGTCACCTTAAGATGGATCAAAGGTCACGCCACACCGAAAGGTAACCGTCTTGCTGATTCACTAGCCAAGAAAGCAGCCAACTAAATACTTTTTGAACCTGGCCCTTCTATTGGCCTGACAAAATCGGTAGTGACAGATCTAATCAAAGAACATTTCCTTGTGAAATTCAAGGAAAGAGGGGATGAAACAAGAAACTGCAGAGTTACCAAGGAGCTCTTAAGTTATCCTGACAACACTGCAGCAAATACTTGACTATGACTAGACAGAATCTGCGCCTAGTCACAGGCATTCTGGCTGGTCATTGTCAAGTACGAAAGCATCTCCAATATCATGGAGCTGTCAGAATCCGCACTCTGCAGAGGGTGCGAACAAGATGAGACCATCGAGCATATCCTTTACGATTGCTCGACGCTCTTATTTATTAGATTTGTGTTCGGCGAGTATCGGCTAACACCGGCCGATATAAGAAAAGCACCTCTTGGCGACGTTGTCAACTACATTAAATCTGTAGGCTGGCTTACGAGCTAGGAGGTACCTATCATCTTAGGAGGATGCACAATGAGCCCAATGAGGCCTAAGTGCCGTGGGGGTAACCCACCCTCCACACGTTACAGATACAGATAGTTTAAGATTATCTTTAAGAATACTGACAAACGCGAAACAAGACGACTAACTGCCTGGGTGAGAAGGTCCTCCTAGTCGCCAACGGAGACTGGGAGAGCTTTTACAGGCGGCGAACCCACAGAATGCGCGCACACAAGACTCACACATAGACAACGAAACAGGGAAATGTCATCCTACAAAGCATTTTTAGAAGTATTGGCATCAAAGTCAAATGATTTTGAATTAGAGCCACCTGTAGCGAAGACAGTATGGGGGTTTGGTGGGGTCAAAAGCAGGTTTCGATCCAGTATATCAGGATGGGAACCTTCTCGACTTGAGCTCAAATTCAGAGTTTGTGTTGTGTGTTTTTTTATGACAAATATCCTCTAAATGAAGAGTAGACAAGAATAATTGTTAATTTCAGACTACGCAATCCACATGAAAGGGTCATCGAATTAGACCAACATACCAATTTGTAGCTTTATTCTAATTTTTCACAAGTAACTCCTGTCCTGAGCGAGTCATTGCTTGGACCATAAAAGTGTAACGTAATTTTGGTTCCACTGACAGTTAATTTTAACCAACCTTTTAACAATATTTGACACAAGCGTTTTTACCATTTTTATTAAATATTGTTTGCAAATCATAAAAATTAGTTTAAAGAGTATGTAATTAGTTAATAGATGAATATATTCTTAATGCATGTTAATCATAACGCAGTTCGGCTAATTTTTCTGCAGCAATAGCGGACGAATGTCTGCCCATTCGTGATAGAACGAAAACAATTTTCTTTATATAAGTCACATACTTTGATTTTCTTTTACTATACGGAGAATGGTCGCACTGCGCAGCTTTCTGAGTGCCTTTTAAAAGGAGATAGAAAACTCCGCCATTTTGAACCCTTATTACGTGTTGCCTACATCTTGGCGCAATATTTTTAATAGGTGCGTTTTAATCATCCGCTTCTGCTTCGAAATTGTCGGTTTTCTTGTTTTAATCTGACAGGTTAAAACGACTAAACCGACAATTCCAGAAGCAGATGATTAAAACGCACCTGATATTTTGCTTGCTGCTGTCAGTGAATATTATTTTTGAAGTCATAGTTTATTACTAAAGAATCAGTTAGCTCACTCGGACCAGTTGAAAGTTCCAAAATAACATCCACTCCAGGGATACAAATTCAGGATACGCAGAAGACTGCTGTTTTATTATAGGCGGTTGTCATATATTGTATTATCCGAGTTGCACAGTGTATAAACTGAAACATTGAGATCCAAAGTGCCGACGCAGAGTGAGCGATCTGATTCTTTAGCTGTAAACTGTGTCACAGGGTTCAAAATGGCCGCGCCCTATGTTGGGCGTGTCGGGCCTCTCTCTTGCCTCGTATAGTAATCAAAGTATGTGATATAAGTATTAAAACTAATCTATCTGTCAGATTTATGTAAAACTTTGAAAGATGACATCAGAAACATGGCGGAAACTACCAATATAATCACCGTAGCGAAAGTGTTGCCAACTTCTGAAAAGTCACTCTTCCGTCAAACCACCCTATGTATAAAAGTTTTAAAACAATATAATTTAGAACAAATCGCACTAACAAATACTGTCAATGTAATAATTTTCAGTGGAACCAAACCTACGTCATCACTATTTTAGCGTATTTTAAATCTTTTATAAAATAAATTGTTTGTTTTAGTTGGGAACCCTTTCAAAATTTTGTTTTTTTCAGATTGCTTAAACGATTAGCCCCTGGCACTTTTGGAAAACATATCGACAGATTTACCAATTATGGTAACAGACAACTTCAGTGTACGTTAATACCATGCATAAAAAGGCTTCCGCAAAAAACTCAGAGACCTGTTAAAAAAACGCCAGTAAGGAAAAAACATGTTGCTCGAAACAAGAAGTAATTGCCAGTTCTAATTCCTAGTTATTTATTTATTTATGATGATGCTATTTTTAATATTTATATGTTGCCAATGATAAGAATATTAATAAAAGATGAAAAATACTTATAATAATGTTTTATTACATATAAAAAATGTTAGCATTATAAAATAAAAGGAAAAACAAGGTTTATAAATAAATATTTACCAGCTGCAATATTTGCATATACAGTCTTCATTTTGTATTCGAAAATACAAACAGCAAGTTGATAAAACTTTTTTTATCGTGATAAAGTAACTCCCTCATTATGAAACTTTTCGTCCATCAATATTTATGAATCGTTCAAAGATTTAGGTAAAAATTACTATAATTAATATTTTAAACGTTATACCTATAAGGAGGGAGTTATTTTACAGAGATCCCATATGAGCTATTAAAAAAAATTAAAACTGCAAAAATGTTACAATACATTTATAAGATGAAGAAAATGTTATATTGTTTTTAAACAGCTCATATGGAGGTTAAAAATTTCCAAAATGTATATATACACATATCTAACATACAAAGTGACATTCACGATGATTCAAAAAATTATACATGATCCAGAAAGCAACTTAAAGCACTACATCTTTAAGCAGGTTAGGTTTTGAGTATTTTTTGTTTGCCTAATCTACCACATCACATTCAATCTTTATACAAAATAATATAATAATAGTAATGATGATAAAACATCTCTGTGGTCACTTGTAGCACAGAATTGAGCATTGTTTATAAAAATGGTCATTATATTTGGAATACAAAAATAAATTTGGTACATAAAAAAAATATTGTGCTTTCTATATCATTGAGATTGAATTTTTAGGGCTAACTAAAGTCGATACTTATTTTTTTATTTAATAGACTATTTGTAGATACATATAGCAAAACTTCTGTATATGTGTAAATTTTTGTAAAAATTACCATCAGTCTTAAATGTTTTCTGTTGCCGCCGTCTTTTAAGAAAAGCTGCATTAGGAGGTCGGGCAATTGAGTGAATTCGTCTAAAACGTTTTCTACCAGTAATGACAGTACTATCCGATCATATTGTAGTTTATTACAATTGCAAAAATTGAAAAGCTTATTGAAAAAACGTGACAAGCCACACTTTTTAAAATAATGGCACTTTTACTCTACGATAATAAATAATTGACCAAAAGATGATGACGAATTTGGGAAAAAAATTTAGAGTGTATAAAATAAAGTATATTTTTGGCGTATATTCATAAAACAAATTCGAGACAGTCGGGATTTTTATTTCTAGATTCTATAAATGCTAAAATTTGTCTAAAACATATTTTTTAGGTTAATTTTTTGCGAATGTTATAATAACAAAATAACCGCAAGTGCCCTTCCAGACTCACTAACATAGATACTTACTGTTTTTATCATTTCAAATCGCCTAAAATACCTTCTCCAAATTCGTCATCAGCTCTCCGACTATTATAAGGTTAGCCACATACGAAATGGGCATTCTTCAACAAATGCATTAGCCGAAAAATCAAGTTAACAAAGTTGTAGTAGTCTTAGAAACTTATTAGAACCTTTGAAATGTAGTTTCTTAATAAATTACTGTTGTTTTCCAACAACCTTTTCAATTATTCTTTTTTTGTATTATTAACAAGCAAAGACCCACCCTTTTTAATAATGCACTAAAGGAATATTTGGTCGGATAAAAACAATGGAGAAAGAGTTGAAGGACATAGGAGGTAGTTAGAAAACTATACAACACATCTTTAACTCAATTTGTAGAAGCACAAAAAGTGCTAGAGTAGCTAAACAAATGGAAGAAAAAAGAACGAGAAAGAAATATAGGACAAGCTATTATATGTATTGAGATGGAAAATGTAGTGAACAATAATTCCAGGGACACTGAAAAGGAAATACAGGAGCAGTGGCGTGCGGTGACATTTTTGGAAGGGGAAGCGATTGTATAAAAATACAGCAGACCCGTAAGCTCAGCGCCGCAGGCGAAAATTTTTCGCGGCGCATTCACCATTTTGCTTTTTTTTCCTCAGTACTACGGATATTCGAGATTGAGATTTTTAAAGTGTTACTATTACTTTATTACCTAGTTTAGTACTAAAAGCTATAAAAAAACTCTTGGTTTATTTAAACGTAAAAAAAAACATTTGACAGGAGTTTTTTTTATTTTTTCCAGCATTTTTCGCACAGTTGACATTTATTTATACTTAAAATCTATTCGCCTATCCCTCAATGGCTGCAAATTTATCTATAACATCATCGTAAAATTTTGGATTTTCTGATAACTGTTTAACAAGCTGTTTTTCAATGGATATTAGGGCTAAATTAGAGAATCTGTCTTCACTTGTTGAATTTCGTATAAAACTTTTAATGCGCTTTCAAGTTGAAAAACTTCGCTCCACTGACGCACTTGTGGCTGGGATGGTTAGTACTAATTCACACAACTTGATTTCACAAAGGGACTTATTTAAACCAGTTGTTACAAGAAAATTTAACACATTGATGGGCGTGTTTTTATCACTAATTTCAGTTGTTTCATAAACAACACTTAACTAGGACTTTAATGCTAGAATATCGAAAAAAAAATTCCATAATTTAATTTTAGTGAATTAAAAGCTTTCCGATGGACATTTTGATCAATCGTAGTTAATAATATTAAAATTGCACAATTCAACAAATTTTAATTCGTTAAAATTTTGAAATCGAGAGTTCATTTGTTGTAAAATATTATCAAACATTTCGGCGTATAAACGACGATAGGAGGTCTCTGTCGCCGACATGATCAATTAATTGTCTTTCTTTCAGGTTCTAAGCCAATGTTTTGAGTCTTATTCCAAAAGTGTTCAAACTGATCTCGTTTTTTATTCATTTTATTTTTAAAATCATCAATTTGTTTAATGCAAAAGCCAATGTGATTTGACTTTGTAAAATGTCGAATAAAATGTCAGTAAAAGGGAAAATCTCTGCAAAAATTAAATCAAAGTTGTTTTTTAGCCAATGCAAATACCCTTTAGCCGCAGTAACAGTTTCAGCATCCCATGTTTCTATATTATCCCAAACGTCTTGTAAAAAGTGTATCAAAGAATCACGGTATTGAAACACTGTTTGCACTAAACGTCCATTGTAGTTCCATCGCGTCGGAGCAACTCTTGGAAACCTTTTTTGAACGTGAATGTCCAAAGCGCGAGTTATTTTCAATGACTTTGAAAAGAAGGAAGCCAAACACTAAGCGTCGAAAATAAAACTTTGCAATCTTTAATATTATCCATGTTTCGCGATAAAACCAAATTAAGTCTATGTGCTACACAGTGAACGAAAATTGCATGTATAAACTTCTTCACTTTAGCTTGAAGGCCTCCTAAATGGCCAGCCATTACGGCAGCACTATCGTAGCTCTGAGCAACAAGCTTAGAACCACATTCTAAACTTGAAATAATGTCACAAACAATTTTAAACAATGCATCTGCAATTCGTTCGCTAGTGACCTCCAAAGATCCTAAGAATCGCTCTTGAGGAATGCCATCCAATACATATCGCACAACAATGGATAATTGACTTAAGTTTGCTACATCTGTGGTTTCATCAAGCGCAATTGATACGAAAGGTGCTTTTTTAGTTTCACTTTTAATGTGATCCATCACAACGTCGGCAGTGCATTTAATTAAATCATTTTGGATTCTGTTTGAGGTACCTCGGAAATTCGTCGAATCAATAAAATGATTTTTTAGGGTATCATCGTATTTTGCTAAAAAACTTAGATGGTCCATGTAATTTCCTCGATTGGCGGATCCACTTGCTTCATTGTGACCCCTAAAACTTAGTTCATGCTTTCCCAGGAAACAAGTTACATCTATTAATCGTTGTAAGACGTCCCTATTTTTTTTACCCTTTCATTGTGAAGTTTGTTGCTTATTTTTAAATGATTGTCCAAACTATGTTCAATGCGATAGGTCCCGAATGTTTTTTCTTTAATTCTAGCACTTATATGAGATTTGCTATTTACATGTCCTTTTACACTTTTGGGAAAATTATTCAAGTCTGTAATACCGTCTGAGTTCCAATGTGTTTTTTCGGCTATATTAAAAAGTAAGCAAGGCCAGCAAAACAATTTCTTCAAAGTTTTGCAGCCGATTAACCATTCATACTTTTCATAGAATCCTACCTGAAAATGCCTGGTAAATTTCTTTGCTGACTTTTCTACTTTCGTCTCTAAATTGATAGGGTCCTTTAATCTACTAGAATTAATAATGTCCGTTTTCTCTTCAAAATTTCTACTTGAAAATCCTTTTTTCAATAAAGAGCACACAATACAGACACAATTTACCACATTAATATTGTTCACAGGCACAGTGCATAGTTCCTCCATTTTACAAAAAGAAAAACAACTACGAAAAACAAACCGAAATCAATCTGAAGTCTACAATTTTCCTGACATGTCGATTCGCCGTGCGAATTGCAATATGCGTAAGGCGACGTAAAAATCACTGCCTTTCGACCGTATTTCACGTGCCCAAACAGACTGACTACTGTCGCGGCAAAGCAAGGTCAATAACACGAAGCGAAATCAATTGGAAGACGAGCCGGCTTTTTCAAGACTCGCTTCCGCCGACGGACTCGAAGTATATGGTGTGTGCGTTTACCCAATTAATTTTCTCATGGGTGGTGCGTGCGTTTACACATTACACCAATGAATTGTTAGTACATTTTCGTAATGTTTCTGAGAAAATATAGAACCTAATTTATTATTAATTTCTATGAATTGTAAACAGAAAAATATTTATTTTTAAATCTCAAAGTGTAGGGAAGCGGTGCTTCTCCCGCTTCCATGCAGGAGAGGAAATACAACCGATCACAAGTTCAAAGCGTGACAAATAACATTAAGGTACAACTCATAGAACCCGGCCCAAGAGAGATTTTTCCTGGTAGGGAGCGTCTGGTGTTGGAGAGCATCTTAGGGATAGGAGAGAGTATTGATATATAGTCAACAATGCAAAATATTATTTTACAGAAAAAATATGAAGAAGGGTGGCTTATACTATGTACATTCCCATGTTGTAAATTAATAAAATTTCAATATGAATATTGTTTCAAACAGATCTATAAAAGTCTTACTAATATATTTAATATTGAAATTGTCACAACCTCAAGACGAAAATATTCGGATCTACAAATAGTCTTTTTACACATTCCACCAAAACAAATATAAAACTGCTATTACAAAATACATAAGTTACACGCCATCACACAATAAATATGGTCAGTATTTTAATTATATTAAATATGACTTGTATTTTGAATGTATTATAGTTTGCTTTGAATATAGGCATCAATTCAAATTTGCAAAAGCTTGACTTTCTTTTATTCAAAAATTTACTGACCATATACAACAAAAACAGCTACCATAACAGACTGACGTCAATAAAAGTTAGAGTGGTATAAGTATACTCAATAGTATATAAAAAACATAAATAAACACCTTAAAAATAATACTATCTGCACAATATTCTACAATAAACACTTTTAGAATAATAATAATAAATTAACTTATTAAGAGATTCAATAATCTCATAAATACAATCAGTAACAATTTTTACACTAAACAGCGAAAAAAATCGGAACCATTTTACTAAATATCTAATTTTAAAATTATTTACACAATATTCACAACCAGAAAAAATTATAAAAATTATTGCTGAATCGAAAAATGATGAAAATAGTTTCATTTTAACTAATAATGGCACTTTCGTTTTCCCCAAAGGGCTTATAGCGTGTTCTCTCACCGATTTAATTAAAAAAGAGAGCGACTTTTGATTTAATGATTAAAAAGTCCTTACCAGTTCCACAAAGCAAATTTTTATGTTAAATAATGGCGTGAAAATATACTTTTCTCCTTTTAACTATACTATAAATCTAGAAAATACACATACATTTATCACATACGTATCAGTCACGTTTGGAAAGATATAAATAAATCTCTTAGAAAGTCAATTCAACCCATTAAAAATAATGACTACGGCTTAAAAATCTAAAAAAATGTGCACATTCACACATATTCGCTATTTTTGGACAAACAGATAGGTGGTATTTCTTCAAAAACTTGGGGTTTTAAGTTATTGTTAATAAAATCAGCTAGAGGATGATCTACTGCAAGGTCGCCAGATAGCCCACGAATAACTCGTTATTTTATTTCTAATAAACATTGTGTCTTTAGAACAAATAGAGATAAGTGAGATAATCGTTATTGTATTGTCATCTGGAACAAGAGGTGCACCTTTTGAACTATCATTAGACTTCAAAAATTTAATATACATACTGATTATATTTCATTAATAAAATTAAAATTAATGTTGAAACGTCTAAATTCTTTTAGACAAAATCAATGTGATTTAAACTAGCTCTTAGACTTTTTGTTAATAAACTTATGAGAATGTGTAACTTGGTTATACATGCCTATTATGTATTGATGAATGTATCAGCAAAAATCATAAAGGACCCTGCACCAATACTTAGATTTTGCATTTCGATCAAATTTGATGAAATTATCAGAGAATATATAGTAACTTCCCCCAGAGGAACCTTTTGAGAATTCTGATTGAATCTTTAAACCGGTGGAGAAACTATTAGTGAATTCTGAGGAAGAGCAAGTTTTTAGCTTAGAATCTTTCTATGTAAGTAAAACATTGCGGGTAAAAGATGAGGATGTAACCTCAAACACACTACGATGGATGTATATAGCAATAGTGAGACCAATCATCACTTACGGAGCTATAGCCTGGAGTGAGAACTAATTTAGCTACTACGAGAGCTAATATCTCAAAAGTACAAAGACTAGCTTGTGTTTGCATCACCGGTGCAATGAGAACCTGTCCTACGGCCGCAATGGAGGCGATCTTAAACCTCACACCTCTACATTAAATGATAGACTGTGGCAAAAGGAACACGATATATAATGAATGGAGTAATGAGACAAAAGTCTACTAGCTTCGGGGCCGAAGATATTTGGGATATGTCCCAGGATGAAATGAAAAAGTAGTTTTGTGAAAAACTTCAAAATCACAACCGAACTGCAAAAAAGGAAGGAGCCAAGATACCATCGTGCTTGTAACCGAAAATCATGCTAGTCAGTGGAATACGGATGATTCTAAAACCACAGAAGGAACTGCAATAGAAGTGTATTGGCCTAGAACCAGGCACTCTGAAAGTTTGGGAAAATACCCAAGAATCTTCCAGGCGGAAATTCATCGACCGAAACTATCGTAGACATGTCCGATAGCCAAGCAGCCATCAAAGAGCTGAGCTATTACGTAATCATTTTAAAAATGGTTTGGAGATGCCTAGAAAAACTGAATGGGCTAGGCGAGGAAAATACAGTTACTGTCACTTGGATCCCGGGACATAATGGGGTAAAACGTAATAAGATTGCAGATAGTCTTGCAAGGAAAGGGGCTTAAACACCCTTTGTGGGACCTGAGCCGTTCTGCGGTATCAGCAGTAAAGCAATATTAGGAGAGATTAAAAAATAATTGGGCAGTAAAAGAACCAATAAATGGAAGTCTTTTGGGGCTAAGATACTTCTGGGTGAATATAACGACACCTTAGTAAACTGAGAGTAGTAGAAGATAGTGAGTGCAGATTCTGTGAGAAGGAGGACGAAACCTCCATTCACATTCTGACTGAATGTGTAGCACTCCAGAATTCAAAGGCAGTATAGCTAGGAGAATATAAAATAGAAGAGGGAGATTTACCTAACTTGAAGCTACTCTAAATCCTACATTTCCTTGAGAAGATTTAGATATATCTATATAGATCCTTTCTTGCTGGATTAGCGACAGAAGGGGACACAATAGTTATTTAGGTCGCATTGTATTAACACCCCATTCCCAACATAACAATGAACAGGAATATTTTTTTGTAAAACGAGTCTGTAGCTAAGGGATGTTCAGATGAAATTTCTTGCTGCCTTAAAAAGTATTTTGAGGATTTTAATGTACAAGGAGATACTTTATACGCCGTTTCTGAAAAAAACTGTTGCGGACAAAATAAAAACTGGACAGTTGTCAGATTTTGATTAACTATGTTATCAAGTGGTAGGGATTTTGCGCTTATAGGAAAGTTTTCAAAAACCAATACTGTATACTTCAGAAAAGGAGTAAGTGCTTAAAGGTGCAAAAAAGAGAATCCTTTTGTTATAGTTTACCTAAAAAAAGAAAAATTACTTTGATTTCTTCAATTTAAAAGAGAAATTCGCTCAACTGGGCTTTGGTATAAGTACTGCTGTTAAACTAGAATATAATATTGACAGGCTTTCCAAAAAACGTTAGTTTGCAGAGAAAACGAGGAAGATGACTTTACTGAAAATGGATCTTTTAAATACGAAGATGCCTTATCAATAGAAAAATCAAAATTGGCTCATGTCATGTCTACAGTAGATTCCACCAATCTATCATTTTTATTTTTCCCTAAAATATTCTTAAATAGTTTTTGTTCTAATAATTTTGTATTTCTTTACTTTGAACAATAAACCTGTTAAGTGACATTTTTTCTTACTTTTCCGTTTGTGAAATACTCGTCTATATGGATGATAGAACAAGTCCTTAATGCTACAAATGTACATCTTTAAAAATTCATAGGTTTTTTCTGATAATTGTTTCCATTTTATGTTGTTACATTTTACTCGAAAACTGATAATTTTCTCCTATATTGAAAGTTCGTTTTTATAATTCAAATACCTTGAACTTTAGATTTACATTTGTAACATGCATAAAACATAAGATTTAATATAAAGAAAATGAGAAAAGAGGATATCTTCCTATCAACTTTAAAGTGCCGTAAAACAAAAACCAAGTAAATTTTTATGAAACTGATCACAGATTATTGATCAGCAGAACTTACAGTATGATTTCATCAAATTTGACCGAAATACAAAATCATTAAGGATTGTTGCGGGGTCTTTTGTGTGCTAATGATTGGTTCATTCAAATCGAAAGATTTTTTAAAATTAACAAATGTCCAAAATAATAAAAATTTACAAATATTGTGCAGATATTATTCGTTTGCCAACATTACAAGCAGCACTAACACCGTTTAATCATCTAAGATGTAAAAAAGTACTAAGTTCCCTGATAACTAGTTTAAAGAAAGTGATGGTATGTATTATTTTAATTATGGAAAAAAATTGTGATGCTTACACAACCTCATACATCACTGTGATAGTGTTTGGAAGAATCTAAATCTAAAATATTTAATAATTTTCATGTTTGAAGAGAGTATAAATTTGTCGATTTTTGGAAATATCTGGATTTTGCATACGAGTAACTAAAAACATTCATTTATTAAATCAGATTAAAATGAAATGTTGCATCAAAACATTTTCCAGAGATATTTCACAAATATATATGGCAGCACAATAAATTTGAACGAAGCTAAAATGCTTTAAGTCTATAAAAAAAGTTATTGCATTGCTCAAATACAAAAACCCTACAATCAAAATGCCTTTGGTTTAAAAAAGAGAAATAATTTGGCTTTTAACAGGAATAAATGTTTCAAACTAATTACATTGTTCCTAGGATGAATATAAATTACGTATATAAAAATACTTAAATATCAGTGAGACCAGTTCTGGTATTTTGGAATGAAATATAGAAGTTATATGGCTCCAAATCATCAACATTTATATTTCACAGAGTCCATGAAGTTCTGCGTAATTCACAATAGCTCGATGTAAAAATTCATACTGTGCCTGAAATTAACAAATAACATTTATTATATCATATTGAAACATGCAGAGGTGCCCCAAATTGGTACGTTTTGCATAGTATTCCGAAAACTAGATGGAAAGAAAGCGAATTGAGAAAAAATAAATAATCGTTTTGGAAATATAAAAATAAATAATCCCCAATTCCCCCTAGAAATTATGAAAAATAAACCTCCATATTCCCAAAGTGAAAACAAGAAAAATTGAAAAAGCTGAGAATTAAAGAAAAAATGAGTGCATCGACCAGGGATCGAACCTGGAATCTTAGGGCTGTAGCCATCTATGCTCTTACCAGTTGAGATATCGAGGCACATGGCTTTCGACATCCGAACTCGCAGATTTGAAGTCAATCAGCCTCTCGCCAGCGCAAACACAAAATCTAATCTCATCCCAGCTCTCTCAATTCTTCTTAAAGCTACCTTTGTGCCATCGTGTAGAAAGGACACAATCTAATGGTACTAATTATACTAATCTAATTGTACTAGAATCTTAAAAATAAAGACTGGTCAGTCACCTAAATATTTTCAGGATAAGTGGTCTACAATACTAATATCATCAACATAACACTAGGGGTAGGATAGATTTCCATGTTCAACGATTTTCCAGACATGAAGCCAAAATAATGTTTTTTAAAGGGACGCACTTTTGATGGCAAGCATGGGATAATGCGGTCCGCACTCAGTGAAGTATTATTCTATTTCTGTATACCCAATACCATTGTGTTTCTTTACTGTTATTCTAGAGGCAGGATTGGAAAGTTAATGTATTATTAGAAACAAATTTACATGAAACTTTTGAAGAGACACTTTTTGGTTCCAACAATTTCACCTCCAATTGCACCCCCTCAGACGGAGCAAAAGTTAATTGCGAGTATGGTTGTTATGTATTGAAACCTCCAAAATTGAAATCTGCAAATCAAAAGCGTCTACTTGTCATTTGAATCAAGTTATACGACTATTACAATAGAGCTGTATTTTTCTCAGTGTACATTTGTGGATGTGGATAACTTCACACCCGTTTAGTTACCTTATAATAAAATGCGTTACTGAGCGTTTCATTTTTTAGTGTCTATCGTGATATCAACGATAAACATTTTATTTGCCCTGTAGCTCCAACTGCTGAATATAGATATTATTATATAATATATCAGGTGAAAGACAATTAAAAGAAAAGCAAAAATGTCAAAACATTGTCCCATTAAAAAAAAAGGTTTATATTATATTTCCTTAGTAATAAGCCTCCCCTTAAAATCTTTTTTGTACGCCACTAAACTCTTCCATAAAATATCTATCAAATTTTCCTATATTAATCTTAAAGAAGTTATAAAACCTTGCAGTTTTTGACATTTTAAATAATCGCCCTGTATTTGGCATATCAAGGGAGTTATTAAAGATTTGATTGGGCAATCGATACTTTAACAAAAAAGAGTTATGACATCTTAAAAACTTTTTTCTAGCTACTCTATTTTTTAGGATATCTGCAAAAAATACCAATGTGGGTTAAAGAAGCTATTCTACTAAATATTTAAATGTATCAACTGGATCCATAAGTGACATATTCATAAATTAACATACGCCAATAATCGCCTAATAGGTAATGGGTAAATTTGAAATGATCACTAATAGAGTTTGGCGATATCTCAGATTTATATAATTCTTCATAAGTTTTTTCTATCAATTTCATAAATAATAACCAATATTTAATTGAAAATTATATACCAATTAACGCTTGAAAAATGAGAGGATTTAGACTTAATTTTTCCAAAAACATTTGCTTAAAAAATTTCCCACTGATATAACTAATTTACTGTTTAAAAAATAAACCTATTGTTGTTTTTAATCTTTACATATTTTTTATATTTTGTATTGTAGGCCTGACGGACTATCTGATTTAAATAAAAATGAATATTGTGGTATTGATTTTGAGATCTTTTCTTACTTCACAACTGACCAAATTTGAAACAATGGATAATCTTCATTACTTACATAAGAGTTGATCATGGCGTGTCTTTGCGACCTTAATTTTCTTGTAACTGTGAATACATCAACCCTTCTTTCAGTCCTAAGTTGCTGTACAAGTATACTGAGTCCGACAAACATCGAACTTCTGTCTGATCCTAAATTACAATGGATAACCATTGAAGATGAACATTCGTTTCTCACTAGCACTGTTTGAGAAAAGTCTACTAGCTCAATGAGCCCTCTTGTAACTTCAGGTACCTAAAAAATATAACTAAATTAAAATAACTACAAACTTTTTTAAACATTACTTACAAAATAGATATGAATTAGTCAGTCTACAAAACGGTGAATTCTCTACTGCAAAACCTGTAGAGATAGGTTGTACCACAAGGTTCTTGGACCAATATTCTTTTTGATTTACATTACTGGCTTAGTAACCCACAGATATATGACAGATTAGAATTCTTTACAAAATTTCTAAAGCCAACACGAGTTCACATGCTAAGCGCCATTAGCAGAAATGCAATATTCAGATTTTGCCAAGTTTACAGTGTTCTTAGTAGTAATACAGTTACATTATTTCATTATCGAAACAAATGTGACGTCTGACAACAGTGCAATAAGAAACAATCGATATTTGCACGAGTTGTAAAACTACTTGTTCACCTCATTATTGATACTGATGTCAGCTAATCTTATTTAATCATACCAGTTACAATATCAAATGTTTTCGTCAAACCCCAGAGTAACATTAAATACCTTGAAGTAATAATAGACAACAAATTGAACTTCAAAAACACTGTATAACCATAAAAAAGTAGTTACTAGAGCCAAACATTTTAGAGAATTGACTTACAAGAACCAACTCATAGATATTAAAACATGTAGATAAAAAACACTGTAAATAGTATAGATAGTAGAACGAAGTGCCCTAAGAACTATTACTAAGTTGAAACCTATAACAGAAAGAATCCAACCTCTCGCTTAGAATTTTACCAACAAACCAATTAATATTAACATTATTAATAGACAGGCATTAATAACTACCATCCAGTTTACTAAAAGACGTCATTACCCTCTCAGCTTACCATTTTTTATAATATTTATTAAATGTATTATTAATTAATTTTTTATTTATATATAATAACTGTGAATATGGGCCAAAAGAGTGGGGTCAATAGCCCTTTGGGAGGACCTAATAAATAAATTTTTCTCTTCTTTTAAAGTAAAAAGGTGACGAAACAAATTTATATTATTATTGAAGACAAAGTCTGACAAGGCGTAAATAAAAGAAAAAATGTACTTACCTCTCCATCTACAGTAGGCCACCCATGATATTGCAAATGAGTGACTTTCTGATCCTCCCCATCCCTGCTCTTAATACACATTTCTCGCCTCGTGTAATACGGACAACTCTCCGCTTGCACGTACCGAACGTGTATGTGGTCATAGTTCGCCTCTTCCTCTGGCCAGTATCTCGGACATTTCCCCTCACCAACTTCAGAAATCATCACTATAACACTGATTCCTTGCTCGGAAACCATCCGCCAAAAGTCGTTGATAGTTCCTTCCAACGGGTCTTGTGTGATAATAAATGATTCACTATTATCGTAACCTTCAATGAAAGAAGCGTTTATATATGTGGAATGTTCTTTGCCTGATAGAGGTGTAAGTATAACCCTATTTCTATCGTATGGAATGATACTGTCGCAGCGATTCTTCTCGCGATTCTCCTCGCCGCTAGCCACTGAACAGGATTTTCTGTCTTCAAAAGCGTTTATTATATTTTCAAATTCTTCTTCTAATTTACATTTATTTTTGCCATTATCACACTGCCTTAACTTTTCCAGCGTATTTTTCAATTCACTGGAATTTATTTCTGTATCACCATATTGAGCAACTTCCATGAGAGCTCGATAAATAAAAATATACTGTTTCTGTAAAATAAGAGAAAAAATCACGTGAATGGATTCAGATTGACAAAACTGAAGAAAACATCTTTATTTTCATATATCGAACTATTTTAAATAAAGTAATTATTAATAGTGAACAATATGGGGAATAATAATAAACAAATTTTTTATTGAATCCAAAATAAAATACAAAATTTTGTACGATTCATCCTCTTATAGGTACATAAATTAAAACTAACATTAACAATCAAACAGTGGGAAGGAGTATAACTTAAAACACAAATTAAAAAAGTCATCCTATCAGAGTAAACTTTAAAAAAGAAAAAGCAAACAATTATTGACTGGAGGCCCTGGTATTACTTACTAGTCTGAAGACAATACAGAAGGAATTAATCACAGCTTAAGATCACAAATGAATTAAGCAGCATAACATATTCTGGTATCCTATTATAAATAGACACCTTTGACATACACAGAAAAGGAGAACCGTAACGGTGCCAAGTGAGACCCCTGAGGCACCCCGAAGTTAAGGAGAACGTTTGAGAATAATAATGATTGACTCGGACCTGTTGAGTCCTATTCATTAGATAACTACCTAGCCACTGCAAGACCAACTATTATTTTTAATAGGCAAACATTTGCTAAGGTGTTTATATTTTTCATTAGAAACATATTTTTTTAAGAATTTTTCGTAAAAAAATTGAAATAAATTATCTTTGCCAAAAAAAGAACACGTTAAACTTACCAGAGACTGGACTAGGAAGTTCCTCTGATGCCTTAAATCACAAATCGTATTGAAAATAGACACATGTCCTTCTTCTTTTAATTGATGAAGTAAACAATCAAGTGCTACTAAAGTCCCTGTTCTGCCAACACCTGCACTACAATGAACCAAAATACTACCTTTTTCTACTGAATAAGCTTCGTTCACTCTTTTAATGAACTTTATTATACCATTGGGATGTTCAGGAGCCATGAAATCTTTCCAAACTAAGTAATGGTATTGGGTTATATTCCTTTCTTCTAATTCCTTGCCGTTACTCGTCCTTATTATCTTTAATTCTCTAACTATGTAATCCGAGTATCTGGTTTCTAGTAAATGTGTAACTGTAATGTCTCCAAAAATTTTATCACCATCACTTTTGTCAGGCCAATATTTGCTACACTTGGTTTTGCTGTATTCCTCAAGATTGGTAAGCATAAGAATCAACTCGAGGTGTTGTTCCCAAATCATTCGCCAGAATTCGTTAACGGTAGTATCCATGGGACCTTGAGCACAAATGAACTTCTTCCTTTCTTTGTAACCCATCACGTAATTAGCGTTTATGTAGTCTGAGCCAGCAATACTGTCAACTTGCGTCAGCTTCACCCGAGTTTGATCATATGCTTTAATATCGGGATATCTATTTTTGTACACATTCTCTCTTGTATCAGAAGCTCGCGTTGTTCGATCAGAAAATCTATCTGGCAATAATTCAAACTCTTGCTGAAACCCGTAGTCTGAGTCTCTGTGATGTTCTATGTAAGCAGAAACCAAATCCGATTTACTAATAGGGCACATGTCAGGAGGATTAAGTGATACCAGCCGTTGGCGACCCCTAAAGCCCCTAAAAAGAAGGAGCACATAAGAGAGAAAATTGTATTGAAGAGAAAGCACAAAGTTATATTGTACAACTCTTTATGTTGTCACATTCTTTTTGCGTCAATTTTTGTTAAATAATGTATTATATAAATAAGAAAAATATATGTTTACCTTAACGACGTTCTAAATGTAATCATTTCCACTGCCTGTGCATGAGCTTGCTTGGTATATCGATGTAAAATACACAATGCTCCAAGGAGAACTAATATGACCACCACAAGACCGCACAGAATTTGGACTATAAGACTTAAAGTTCCTGCTGTTGGAGCTGCTACCACTTCAGGGCCTGGATTCATCATATCCAGATAATTGCTATACGCTGCCAGGAATAATGGTTGGGCTTCTCCATGAACTAAACAAAAATAAATTGTATTTTGAAGCACTTGCCATACAACCAGTTTCTGTTAAAATTTTCCCAAATTACGAACAATTCATCCTAGATTTATTTGCGCACGAATCTTGTACGAATGCGTACCAATACGTATGGCAAAATGCATATCGCATCCGTATTTGGTGAAAATTGAGACCTCGAAAAATTTGAAAAATCACAAATCGATTTTCGAAATTTTGAGTTATCTGGATACATACCATTTGGTAGAGTTCAATGAAATAAGTTCAACGCCACAAACCGCATATTCATAGCCTACATATTTAATTTCAAAGTTATTGGATTATGTAGTAAAAATTAACCCAAATGAAGTCAAAATCACATTCTGTCATTTCTAATAAAGGCACTGTGATTTTACTGTGCACAAACGTTATACATGGGCGTACTAATAGGCCTGTTGTAGAATATGCATATCACGTCAGTATTTGGTGATGGTTTTTTGATCAATATCGTGTAATATACCATTTTGTAGGTCTCATTGAGTAGATTCCGAGCTAACTTCAAGAATAGCGTAGATATGGACTTTTAATGAAAATCATAAAAAATTGAAAAATGTCAAACATTAGGACGTGTTTTTTTCATGGTTTCTTACAGTTTTTGGGTCATACTTTTTTTTTTCTCTACGGAAAACGTCTCAAAATCGCCGTTAAACATTTAAAGTCTGATTTACATGTCCAACTTCTTGCTGTAGAGCAACCCACCCCCATACAGAGAGAACAAAAAAATATATTGCAATTTAGAAAAATACGATTTCTTGTGATTTGTTTGTTGCCCACCATCAAACTCATGGGGTAAATACACTTTGCTTACCTATTATTTCAACAAATCCTGTGTAATTGCTGTTAATATCAAGATTTCCATCATAAGGCAGAAGAGGATCAGTTAAAATTTCGTTTCTTCTTACTCTGTTTGCTAGATTTGTGGCATTTTTAATTTTTTCTTCCCTAGGAGTATTATAAGGCCTCAATCCTATACATTCATCACATTGACTGTTTGATGTATTATAAACCTGTTCGTCCCCCAAAAATACTTCATTATGAAAAGCAGAGCTGCAAAAAATTATTTGTATTAATCAATTATTCAAGTACAAAGATCATACTGGTTATGTTTCAAGATGATTACAGTTAATGCATACATTCTATGAATTGGGTAACATTTGGTCTCAAATTTAATTATGTTACACACCTCAATAGTGGACTCTATTATAAGATACTGTATACCAGCATAGTATGCAGCTTATACAACAGCATTAAATACGTTGCAATTTCAAACATATCCTTCAGCTTAAGAGCGATATCCATGCAACACCTAACAGCAAATTCAGATTTAGAACACACTGACAACTTTCAGTGCATCTGAACCCACTTTGGCAACATTGCTCTATTCCCAGGCTTACGCTCCCTTCAATTTATTACTTATAAACTATAGATGATTTAAAATATTAAAAATGCCGATAAATCGCAGGTCCGGTCTAACAAAGAGTATTTCTGTTTTGTTTTCTCGTTTAAAATATCTTTTAAAGGTATAACCTGGTGTAACATTTTCGAAAAAAAATTTTTATAACTAATTTATTTACGAAATATATTTTTAAATATACATATGTACCTATTTCTACATTTTCTGATATACAGGGTGTTTGTTGGTAAGTGTGAATGATTTTAGGGAATGTTTGCCGAAGTTATTTTATAAAAAAAACATAGATCGAAAAAGTCAGTGGCGCAGTACTTTTTTATTAAAAAAGTGGCATTCTCTCACAAACGCCACTGGTACAAGTATAAATATTTGGAACACCCCAAAAAATACACATTTGCCCCTTCAAAGTTTTTTTGCAAATTTAGAGTAAATATCTTTAAAACTATTAAAAATAATTAATAAAATTTAATAAATTAAAATTTAAACATTCTGTATCTCGGAAACGAAGCATATTTCGACCTACTTTTATAGGAACTTTTTTTAACAAAATAACTTTGATAACAATTTGCAAAAATCGTTCGTACTTATTTACAAATACCCTGTATAAAAATACTTTTTTTAAATAATAACCAATTTGATACTAGTTTGTGCAACAACAGTGGACAATCCACTGGAGTTGTACAGTATGTTTTTTTCTACGACCCACTAACGAAAATCTACAAATTTAAAGTATTATTTTAGGAAAAGACAAAATAATTAATTTTAAAATAATTTATGACTTTACTAATTTGTGAAATAAAATAAACATGAAAAAATATTTCATTTAATTAGTCCCCAGCCCAGATTTGAACTCGGACCTCTCGCGTGAAAGACAGATGCCGTATCATCATTTTCACCTCCACATTTAAAATTTTAGTTCTAAAAGTAGTAATTAAATTAGTTTCATATAGGTAGTTTAATTCAAATTTAGGATTTGTGGTCTAAATTAAAATTATTTATGAATCCTACGCAAAAATAACTCATTTTAATGTATATTTAATCTCAATTCCTAAAAAATATACTGACAATTAGTTTGACAGAATTGTCACTTATTTAAAATTTTAAAAATAATAGTTGTTGGGTGTCCAATATATAAACTGTGATTGGTGGATTTCATTTTTTTGCAGTGTTCTCACTACCCAGAATGGATATGAAATATATTCGTTGAGTTGAACGCAATAGTATATTTTTTCGTTTTGTAGTCTGTGCGTGAATAGTAGTTTGTGCAACAAAATTGGATGTGATGGCCATATCGCACGAAGACGAAGTTTCAGAACGACGCCGTAGACGGAGTGCTTAATCGTCTGAGTGCGATACAGACAATCCACTCGAGTTGTACAGTATATTTTTTCTACGACACCCTAACGAAATTCTGCAAATTTAAAAAAGTAATTTATTAAGACAAAATAAATAATTTTAAAATAATGTATGACTTTTAATAATTTATAAAATAAAATAAACATACAAAAAGATTTAATTTAATTAGTCCCCAGCCATGATTGGAACTCGGGTCTCTCGCTTGGAGACAAACTCCGTGCCGTCGCCACACTTGCCATTATAGTTCTAATACTTGTAATTAAATTAGTTTTATATGGTTTGATTAAAATTTAAGATTTGTTTATAAATTTGGACGAAATAAAAATAGAAATTCTATTACTTATCGATTATACATAAGAAATATTCATTTTTACGTATATTTAATCTCAATAATTCAAAAATATACTGACAGTTAGTTTGACTACATAAAATTTAAAAAATAATAGTAGCCGGGTGACCAATATATAATCTGATTGGTGGATTTAACTATTTTGCAGTGTTCTTAGTAGGTAGAATGAATATGAAATATATTCGTTCAGTTGAACGCAATGGAATACTTTTTTGTTTTGTAGTATGTGCGTAGATTAGCTAATATTCATGTGGGTATAGAAAAAAGCATATCCATGTGGATGTAGAAAATAGTAGTTTGTGTAACATGAGTGAATATAAATTAAATTGATTTCATATAGTTTAATTAAAATTTATAAATATTTATTTCTAAATATAGATCAAATAAAACTAGAAATGCTATTATTTATCGATTCTACACAAGTATAACTCATTTTACGCAATAGCATATTTTTTCGTTTTGTAGTCTGTACGTAGATACGCTATCCATTTGGGTGTAGAAAAAATTGTTTTCTAGTACTAAAAATATTTAAAAATAACATTGAGTAAAATGATTTATTATTAGTAAAAGAAGAAATAAAAATAATCATTTTTATTGACTATTGGTCGGATTTCTACTCGGATTTCTACTCAAATTTCTAATATCTAAACCTCTAGTGAAACGTGGATCTAAGATCTCGGGTAGTATACAATCTAAATAAAATTGCTTTAGTTTGTTTTCCATATACACCAAAATCTATCATCTTTTTTATTTTTTCTACTAACATACTTAAAGGTATTAAAATAAATAAAAAAAAAATATTTCGTTTAGTTACGTTAAGTTGTCCCTGAACAATTATTGCATTTTCGCATTATCATTAATAATTGCAAATTTTATTATGTTGTCAACCATTGCTTTTTTCGGAGTCAGTTTTGAAGCAGTGGCAGGATATTTAATTTCGATAATACTGTCTGTTCCTAATAAACCGTCGGAACCTAAAAACCATATTCAGAATCCACAAATAAACCACATTTATTGGATATCCGCTTTAAATTTGTAAATATTGCTTTAAAGCTAAAGGTTTTTTTTTATTCAATACTTAGTATATTAATTTCCCATATATTTTAACTTTAATGCTTAGAAGGGGTGCTAATGTTTGTCTTTTTCTAAGTAATCTAGCACGATATTTTATAGATTTCCGTCGAAACGGAAATATAATTTTCGGCATTTCCGAAAGTTTTCCCATTTTTATCACAAATTATTATAACTCAGCTTACACATAAAAGTTCATATAAACACATTGACTAAATACGAAACAAAAACACCTACACTTGAACTAAAAAGAATAAAGTTTTTTATTATTTTATTTTTATCCCAATTTTCCGGTACTGCATGCACCGCCAACGTCCGCCGCCTTGTTGCCAAATCAATTAATATGGATTGGAATCTTGACAGATTTTCTCAGATTTCCTAATTCAAGGTTTTCAAAAAATATACGCTTTGGACAAAAAAGTGTATTGGAAAGAATTAGCTGATTTTTATATAACAATTCCCGGTAAAGACTCCTTTTTGCAATAATTTTCATAATTTGTACAGAAATAATTAAAAAATTAGTTTTTCTGAATTCGGGCTCTACAGCGGAGTTCTCTATCATTTGCTTAGTAGGTATACCAAATTTTATAAAAAAATATTTAAAACTGAGAAAGAGAACCTTGAAGTCGTTTTAAGCCTGTTTCTAACCATGGATATCGCTCTTAACTCAATTACCTTGTAAACATTTCTGCTACATAAGCTCCTCCCCTAGGTGTCCTGTGGGCTTCTTGGTATGACATAATTGTCAGGTCTTCAGGATTAGGTAAATCAGATAATTTTTGTTGATCTTCCATTCGGACAAGGTAAATTCTGTAGCAACAAATGGGGCCATTTCTTTCAGATATCCTTGGCATAAACAGTTTGAACATCCATCTACCCTGCTCTTCCATTTTTTTCCAATGTAATCTAGCAAGTTTTTGTTTGTCAGGCAATGTTGGAGGCATTGTGCAGTTTAGAGTTACAAATTGACCATTTTTTTTTAGACCAGTTACACCACATATTCTTACAGTATAGTTAGTGTTGGCCGAAACATTGTAAAATCGTGTATTCAAGGTTATCTCTCTGATACTAGTGGATTTTGGGCCCCAAGTAATATTGTCCAGCTGGCCTTGATCGTTTAAATATATTGCAGATCCCTCTAAAGTGACCTAGAATATATGTACAAATTACAAATCAAAATAGCTTTATTGTACGAAGATTTATATCTCATTAATAAAGCAAATAACATATAAAGAGAAGGAAAACAATTTAAAATTTAAAAGATATACAACAAATAGATAGAGATAGAAACCTAAAAGTACAGTAATACATAGATAAAATACAACAACTATTAATAACAATAATAATAATAAGTCACAACTATATCACTTAGTCATATTTTATTAATCAATTAATTTCAGACAAGACCATTCTCAAGAAACTCAAGAAGCGTTTTTTAATTCCCCTCTAAATTTACATGTATTTTCAATTCTTTCTAGACTTAAGGATATGGGTATCCCTATGTATAAAATATATATTAGTTAATACAGAATTCTAATCAACCATATATATCAATTAGGCATTTAAAACAAATGAATTACCAGTGGGAAGGTTTGGTATATCTAAGGGTTGCGACATACAATGTATTCTATCTACTATACATAAACTCATGAATAATGGATTACATTTAAATATTTTATGTCAAACATACTAAAAATAATATTTAAAAAACCCGCTTATACATTTCTTCATAAATTGGCAGGCTTGGCGACTACTGTTTCGAATAAAAATAGCGTCCAAGATGCAAGACTATGTCGCTACCCCCTTAGATATACAAGAACTTCCCACTGGCACCTATTGTTTGACAGGTCGTTGGAATGCCTAATTGCTAGAATTTACTCATTAAATATTTTTTTTTCAGACTTTTTCTTGAGGTTACTAAAATTATATTCTATGCCTCATAAAACTACATCATGATCGGAGATACTGCTATAAATAACATAATAATATAATCCAATGTAATAGTTTTTTAGTGGGTTTTTACATCCCTTTTTGAATTAAAACTTTTAAGCATATTTTAATCATATAAAGTTTGACTTACACTATATGACTGTATTGTTCCATGAGGTTCCACTGGAGGCTGCCAAGATACAAAAACGAAGTTTGTGTGGCTAATATTATCAAATCTGCACTCAACTGAGGCATTAGACGGTGGACCTGCTGTGCCATCCATAGTTGTACCATTTGCAATTTGCGACATTGGTCCACACTCTTTGCTGTAATCACTGCAAGCCGCCACTTGAAATTCATAAGTAGTAGCCGAGTTTAAATCTGAGAACATGTAGAGATAGTCTTTGACTGCAGGTTGGACAGCTTCAAATATTTCAATAGCATTCACTGCTCTAAGTATGAGTTGGTAGTAATGTATGTGATCTTTAAATTTGTCAGGAGGTGGAGTCCATTTTATGGTGATGGAGCTAGATGTCACCCCAGTAACAGTAACTTTAGGTATGACTATGGGTTCTTCATCCAGCAATTTTACCAGATTACTTGTAGAGTACATACTTTCACCTTGAGAGTTAGTTGCCATAATTCTTATTGTATAAGATGAATTCTTTTTAGTTGAAGTGTTATTCCTTACAGTTAGTACAAAAGAAGTGCTGCTAGCATTGATCATTGATTGATAGTAGACCCATTCCTTGTCATCTTCAGATTTGTATTGGATAATATATTTCAAATCATTTGGGCTATTGCCATCATTAACAGTCCAGTTGAAGTATATTTTATTTACACCAATTGGTTTGATAAAGTCTAAAGTAATCTGTGGTTTATCAAGGACCAACACATCAGTGGAATTGCTAGCTTGAGAAGTAGGTGTTGAAACCAGGCAAGTATAAGTTCCATTGTCTTTTTTAGACACTTCAAATTTCAGTGAAGTATTTTTATGTGTAATATTAATGTCTTTAATTTCCCAAGTAAAATCAGTTAGAGGTTCATTGTCTTTTAACCATTTAATTTCCTCAATAGGGTAACCTTTGACAATGCTAAATATTTCTACAGTTTCATGCATTTTTGTATATGTTGGTTTGGATATTTGTACTATTTGAGCTGGAGAGGTAACATTTAAAAAAATTTGTCGCAAATCTAGATCAAAGTCAGTGTCATTTCTTTTTAAAAATGCATGGCACTTGTAATTACCTACATGGTTGAAATCTATACTCAGGATGTGTAAAATAGAAACTTCAAACTTATTACCAGACTCTTTGTTGATATTTTCACTTTCCATCTCCAACTTAAAGCTAAAAATTATTAACAATTATTCTATATTGTAAAGGTACACTTCATAAATTGTATACATTGAAAATATTAGTAACAACAAGAAAAAAGAATCGACCAAAATAAACCTTCTCACATCAGTTTCTAATAAGTTTAATTTTGTTTGTTGAGTAAAGTTAAATACCTACATTTTATTAAAAACAATTTAATATTTAATGCCATGCATTAGTGTGACATCAGTGAAACAAACAAAAACAAACCACTCTGTCATCGATTTTAACATTAGAGTTTGTTTTTAATTGAAGGTAACTAAATTATTTTTATTGCAGTGATAGCCTTTTAGATGAAGGCAATCACAAAAATAATAGAAAAAAAATTATCCTTTATTTTTATTTATTGTTTTACAGAATTGATCACTAAACGGTTATTTAAAAAGTTATCTACAGGGCCTTCAACATTATCTGTATCCCACGTGATCTGGTACCATCACAAAATGCATTAGAAGGTCTGATTTGGTTACTTCTATGTTAACTGTCGTCAGAAATGTCACTGGCGTTCATTTGGGGATCGACAACATTATATAAACAAAATTGTATTCAATTTTTCATTCAATATTAATAAATCAATCAGTCCTTTTTAGAGTTTATTAGTGTTTTAATTATTTTCTATTGGTAAGAGCAAATTTATTTACTTTAACTCATAAAAGTGAATGAAAAATTCTGGCAACAAGATATTTTGAGGACATGTCAAATTTATGTGACGTCAGCGTTTAGCGTACCGCCACCACCTTGAATTTAAATTGAAATGTAGGTAGAGTTATACAAGGTGTTCCTAAGCATCATGTCATAATTGAAGGAGGTTAATTCCTTGGCTCATATTATGACTTAAAGTTCATATAGACATGTGTCCTAAGCTGCTTTGTTTCGAAGATACAGAGTGTCCAAATTTTCAAAAATAATCAGTTTTTCATCAATATCATAAATACTCTTTTGCCGATTTTGATGAAAGTTGGTACATTTGTTTGAGTAAGAGGCTGATTTAGAATTGATTAGATCGAAATTATCAATTCCAGTGAAGTACCCAAAGACAACCTTATTGATATTTTTGACAAAAAAGAGCATGCCACTGTGTTTTTCCATATTTTCTATTTGGCATATTTAAGTTATGTTAGCAAATTTTCATAAAATTTTAAGTCATAATATTTTTTGAATCAAAGATCTAGTATTGGCTTGCAATCAAACAGGTTTTATTTTTTATCTCGATAAAAACACGAAAAATAGAAAACGTTTAGGAGACAAAAAAGATGTGTTTTTGATTGACGAATTTGAAAAAGAAAATAAAAAAATATGAAAAAGTCAGTAGCGTACTTTTTTTTCTTCAAAAATATCAATTAAGTTGCCTTTGGGGACGCCACTGGAATTAATAATTCAGATATTACTAAGTGAAAATTAGTCTCTTACTACAACAAATGAATCTACCAAGTTTTATCAAAATCGGTCAAAGAGTGTTTATGATATGAAGAAAAATTAATTATTTTTAAAAATTTGAACACCCTGTATCTTTGAAATAAAGCAATTTAAGACACATGTATATATAAACTTTTAGTCATAAATTTTGCCAAGGAATTACCTCCTTCAATTATGACATAATGTTTAGGAACACCCTATATATTTCCTATTCCCACTCTCAAAATTGTTTTCACTTTATAAGGCTTTACTTTATTTAATCTAAAAAAAGTTTTTATATTCTTGTAAAACGTTTCCATCACAGATTAATTTGATTCTACAGTATCTCTCCTCGGGACATTTTCTTTTTCCTGTGCTCTGGACGTGATTTATTTATTGTAATAGTAGCAATAAGAGTTAGGTAACTAGTATGAACCATATTTCTAAATAATTCAGTTTTATTATAATTTGATTTTTGATTAATTCATTTCATCGAATAGAAACAGTTCAGTTTTTTAAGGTTAAGTAAGAATTCAAAAGTTAATGTAAACATAAAAAAATGTATATATGAGATTTGTATACTTTGTACATTTGACTAAATCTAATTACAAATCTAACATAAAAATACAATAATGTAAAGCACCTTTAATTAATCATATGGTTTTTTTGTAAGGTTATTCCAGAGATAACAGGAGATATAGCTATTCACTGATAAAATATAATATTCATGCTGCCAACATCGATTCCACAGTCAATACACCCCAGTTGTAGATCTGGAGTGAAGAGACATGTGGTGTGAAGTAAGGGAAGGGATAAAGAGAAGGATTTAACACTGGGGCCAAACAATTTTATCAATGAATATATGTGTAATCCACTGTATGCCTACAATAAACAATGTACACAACGCAAGCGCTATTGGCACATCTAGTACAAAATACTTGATATCCAACTTAACATTAACTAGGTTTTGGAATTTATTGAAACTTATTAAATCTAATTTAGTCAAATTTGGTATAACTTATGATTCAAATTTTTTTATGTAGTTGCAATAAATAGGTTGAATTATTTTAGCTTTTTAAGATATGTAACTAAATAATTTTGTAAACAAAACAAGAATAATAAAATAGGCATAAAAACAGTGGATATTATACCACCCATGCCCCTTAGAATAAATGTCTTATTCACTACAGAACGATATTTGTTTGTAGTTACATCTCCTGTTATGTGTTACCTCTCATAGTTAAACTGCATTTTGTATTAAAATATCTATGGCACAGACCCTTATCTAGTTATTTTTACTTTTATTTTCACCAACTATTTTAAATGTCAATTGGTCACATGGGATACAGGTATTGTTGAAGATTCTGTACTCTATGGATATATTCTGCCCTGCTAACACAAGAGGTCATATTTACAAACATTCCAATTTTTACAATTTATTTTATTCTGATACAAAGTTAAAAACTGCAAAACTGACTTTATGAAGCCTAAAAGGACATATTTATGTACACTTATTGAAAATGTTAATTTTGTAGATAGGTACAACCTCTTGTCTTAGCAGGGTAGTATTTTAAAAATACCTAAAATCACTTTTTATGTCACTAATGCACTATCCACCTCACAGTGATGACCACACGTAATTGCCTATATGCTTATTGTATGATTATGATAGTATTAATGGATTCAAACATTAATAAGAATGTATAAGACATGTCAAACTTAAGGAAAACAATTACTAAATGTGTAAAGAGAAAACCAATTTCTTCCATTATACTGCACCTTGTCTAAGCCATTCTTTTATAATGTAATATGTTTTGAATGATAGTTATAGTTTCAAAAGATTTTGTAATTGACAGGCACAATAGTTAGTTGTAAAGGTAAACATTAACAAAGTATACACATACCCTGCTTGTTCTGAAATGTTTTTATCATTGAATGTCCACATCATTTCGCTTGACATCCACTTAGTTTTACAAATAATGGTAATATTATCGCCAAGAGGCAATTGATTTGGTAGTTCGTGTTTAAGTACTTCAATGGTTATGTTTAAATCCTTATCTTCTTCATCTGAAAACAAAACATGAAGAGATTGGAGAGTACAAACAGAGGCCAAATTAATCATGCAGATGTAAGGAATTTGACTATTTACCTAAGGGATTGCTTCTTACTATTTGATATGTCAAAAATAAATAAAACAGAAATAATACATTGGAATAATGGGCTTGGCATATCATGGCGCTTTAAAGTTAGTCTTTTTCGAGAATCCACAGTATCTAATGATTATAAATCACTAATATTTAAGGCCTATAACTAACAAATAACTTCATTTCTCAAGTACTATCATTAAAATCACAATACATATTTGATTTGTTAAACAATTTGCCGACTACTTTGTTTGTATATGAACCATATTGGATTTTGGTATGAATTAATTTTATATACCAACGCTAGAGGGACCGGTTAGTTCGCCGGCTTGATCGGAGTTCCAAAATTAATTCATAGGTGGCTCAACTACACTGAAGATGTAAAACACGTTGAATGTTAAAAAATTACTGTTTGTTTAAAAATAATAATAATTCAAAACTCTAATTAAAATATTATATTATAATTTGCATCATTGGTAATCTGCATTTTATTTTTTAACGTTTATATGGTATCTAAATGCCATTTAAGATAGAGGCCAGAAAAGTGTAATATACTTTCAATTGTTTCAATGTAGATGGCTATGATTTAGCGATATGGCGTTTTCGGTCTTCGACATGTTGAAATTTTTGAATTTGTGGCGTCTAGTTTTAAAATTGTGTATATTTGCTGTGGTTCTGGTTATTCAGGTGAGATTTTTTAATACCAAGTGCTAAATATTTCCAACTAAAAAGAATTGCCATGAAAACTACTTTGGAAGATTGTAAAAAATTCTGATTAGACCTATCTATATAGAAAGATTTAAAAAGCACTGTAGATTATAATTCATTCAATAAAAAGTTATTTTCAATAGGGTTATAGGTATAGGAGATATAATATGTAAATCAAATTGAGCAATTCACTAGTGTCTGAATTTTTGATCACTTGGAATTATTCATAACATTTTTTTTTCTTTCAGCCCCCCATTTGAAAAAATCAGCACAGATTACACAGGTTAGTGATTATTAAAATTGTCGATATATTTGTATACACATTCTCTTTTTATCAAATAAATATCTCTTACCTCATATGTAAAGAAATACAATACAATTTTTGATGGGGTTTTATATAGGGTTGCCAACGCTCTAGAAATTTCAGGTTTGGTGATCATTCTCCGGGCCTCAGGTAGGTATTACATTAAAATTTTCGGGGAGGCGGGCGTCACGAATATAAAATAAACGCAGCTCTATTTTGAGAGAACTGCACCAGCAGATGGATTAGGAGAAAAAAAATCTGATGTGTCCAACACATGACTTTTTCCTGTCTAGTTATTATAGGCTTTTTCCGGTTATTCTGTATAACCTATTGCATCACCCTTGTAAATATTTAGACACAGATATTACTCGAAACATTTTTATATATTATATATTCATTGCCAACGAAAATAATATAAAATTAAAATTTTAAACTTTTTCTCAAATTTTTCCATTACGGTCCATTTTAGAGAAATCATATAGGGGAAGGTTGTCTATATTGGTCCAGTTTTCGGTTTTAGGGCTCTAACTTTATGAAAACAAATGAAAACTCTTTTAAATTTAGACACCAAAATACTTTATATTGTCCACGTCCAGTAGTTTTTTCAGAATTATTTGTTGAATAGTTTTTCATAGAAAAATTTAATTTGGAACCCTCTTTCTAGCTGGTCCATTATAGGAAACTGGTGTTGCCTAAATTGAAGGATTCCTATTTTGGACCATTTATTTTAGTTACGTAACATTAAGTGGAACTTTAGGTATATATTAAATGAACAAAAGAAATTAATTTTTATTTGAAAACCAAATACCAAAAAACTAAAATATATTAATAGAACATTAAAAAAGGCAAATCTTACCATAAACAATCAAAAATAACACAATAAAAAGAACAAAATAAAAAACACAAATAAAGAACGACTAAACCTAAGATCTTTGAAATAAAAAGTTATTTTCAGAAAATAAGTAACAGTAAGACTAAAATAGGAACGCTATTTTTAGAGCTAGGAACAAATATCACAGAGAAATGTATCTCTTGACTTTATGTTTGCACATGATTCGTGCACACACTCTGCACTTTAGGCACTGAATCATGTCTTCAAAAATTCTCTCAGAGCAAAGTTTACAGTACCATTCTTTGACATTAATGCCTTTTTCTTAGAAATGCCGAAATCAAATTTGACTTTGCGCTTGACAGTTTTCTTTTTTGAAATATCAGATGATGATCGTTTAATTTCGAGGTCATCTTTGTAGGGTGTGGATGTAATGATTTGTGCTTTTTGGATACTTGCAGTTGGTTTCATCTTCTTGTGATGAACAACTGGACTTTTTAATATTTGCTCTATAGATTCTCATTTTTTTGTTGTGGATGCATCAACTTCAGCTGATGCAGTTGCTGATCTTGAAGGAGCTTGAAGCTCTTTGATCTAGAAGGTTCATTTCTTTTGTTGCAACTGGTCCTTTAATGTAGCGACTCAATGGTACATCTTCATCATTGAAATCGGAACTACTTCCAGTGTTATTATGTTCAACACTTGTTTTTGGGATGAGTACTTCTGAAGGTACAAAATCAACATCGCTGAAAACATTACGGTCTACAGGCCAAATTCCCGTTTTCTTGAAACCATTCATAGCATTTGCTACCACAGCTGCTCTCGCATAAGCTTCTCCAAGGAGTTGGGCAACTTGGTATTGAGAAACTGTCAATCCGGGATTAGTCCTGGGCTATTTATCGTTTGCTTCAGTGGAATAGAGCTCCAATGGCTTAAATACAGCCACGTGTAGGGGTTGAAGCCGGCGAGTAGTATGCCCCGGAAGCTGTAACATAATCACTCCATTATTTCGTGCAGCTCTATTGCCTCAAGATTTTTCGAGTGAGTATACTGTGGCCGTCTAAATAATTAAAACTTTATTGGTCTTTGTTGATTTTACTACATTGATAAAAGATTTAAGCCAGGCAACAAATAGTTCTTTGTTGATGTATCCGGTGTTATAGATATCTCTACCAGGCAGTCAGGAGGTGCTCCAACTCTGAGAACTGGATTAACTCTTTTTCGCTTGAATATTATCATTGGTGCAACAAATTGACCGGCTACACTGGCGCATATGACCATCGTGACATTTTTGAAATATTTCCAAAATGTTTCTATGCTGTCTTTAAGACAACAAACCTTTTTGAGTAGATTTTGTTTCGTTTCTATTATATCGCTATTATTTTCGATATAGTGCTGGCAAGATCAAACCTTCGATCCCGCTTTGCTTGTGTTGAAGTAGTAAATGGTGTTCTCATGTGCAGGAGATGAAATGTGATATCGACGTTGACATTGGTGAATTTAACCTGTGAATAGCACTATTGATAAGGTGTCGTTTTTTTCTTGGATGTGCGAGCGTCATTTAATATTTATTCCAACACAAATCAAAGGAGGACTGAATGTGTGATCTTACCAGCACTCTACAAAGGTACATCCCTAGTAATTTTACCCTTATTCAATTACATTGGATTAATAAATATTGGCCATTGGCATAAAAACATTATTTTAATGCACTTTAAAAGTATCCTAAAAATATCTATTAAAATATTCCTGAAAAGGATCCATATACTTGTATCCGAGTACATTTTTAGGTAAATGTATCCGTACTTTTTTTAATAGTATCCGAACACATTGTAAGTATCCGTATTCGGTACCTACCCAGACAGCACACCAAATCCTTTGGATATCTACTGAACATCCCAATATCCACTGAATGTCCAGTCTATGGTGGATATCTATTTTATATCCATAAAATGTAATTTATAGACATGCAAATGTCCATAAATAATAGTAATTATATAGCAAATTATTAAAAAATTACGCCATTGTGCTCGCCATTGTGGCTAATAGTACCGTTCAGATATTTAAAATTAATTTTTTTAAGGTGTATTCAATATCCCATGGACATCCACATATATCAAAGTCTTAGCGCGGACGCAAACCATCGTGGATATCTACTAGATGTAATTTTTGATTTTGCTTCCTAAGTATAGATGGCGATACCACTTTCGTATCTACTCATGCTCAACCCGCCATAATTGAGTTGATCGAAAAAAATTTCGCATTAAGACTCTATTAGAGACTAGAGTTGAGAATTTCCATTTATTGCTGAAGAGTCCTAATAAGGATTACTTTTTTCTTAGTGGGCAAACTCAAAGGCAGATTGTTGGAAATATTTTTTATCTCTATTTTCTTTCGACGTTATTCAATTTCAATAATCATTTGGTTACTTATGAATGTGTACTAAAGATACCTATAAAATATTTTGCTGAATATCTGAATTCTATATCCTGGGATATAGACGGACATTTGGTTGGATATCCATATTTGGATATCCACAAAATATATTCTGTGGATATCTCTGGGATTTCTTGTATTGTCTGGAAGATACTAATTAGATATTTTGCTTAATATCCATAGGATATCTTCTATATTCTGGATATAGACGGACATTTGGATATCCATATTAGATCCACGGAATATTTCTGATATCCTGTGGATATATTGGATATCCACAAAAGATATTCTGTGGATATCTTTGGGATTTGGTGTGTTGTCTGGGTACTTGGATACTTTTTCTCCTATATCCAACCCTACTCTGCAACTTAGGTGCCAGTTCTGACATTGTGTTGATATCGGTTTGATCACTTGAGATACGGGTATTGTTGAAGACTCTTTACTATAATAAATAGGATTACTTAGACATTACATGCTGTTTAAAAAATTAATAAAAAATAAATATCTGGTTTTTCATTTAACCGTCATTGTTATTAACATTTTTTACGCAAATCCTTGTTAGGTACTTATCCACTTAAAGAAACTACTCGTTTTACTAAGAAAGAAATGATATAATGCAGATTTTAAGCCGATAATAATATTATAACGTCGTCCGAAGTGAACATCTTCAAAATAGATTGAGTACGGCTCTGAATATCCGGCGGAATAAACTTGGAATGCTGCATATCTATCAAATATCACATCACCGTAGAAGCGGCACAGGGCACAGCGCTGCATGCGCTAGTACCAGTCAGCTTGTGAGTCGTGAGGCAG